TCCACAGCTTGTAAGGCAGTTGTTTGGCACCCTTGCTATTTGGATTAAGTTCCCTTCTTGCTTATTCCCTCCCTTTTGTCCCTTCACTCTGATATTCAGAGGTGCCATCCAAGCGCTCAGTTCAACATGAAACCTGCCCATTTCTGATAAGGTGCAGAAGCTGGAGTAGAAAGGCTCCCCCCCACACCCCAAACTGCTATTGAAGCAAGCCTCTCATTCAAGCACACCTGACTTCTAGAAGCCATCTCTATAATGCTGGTCAATGAAATTCCCACTTCATTCCTGTCGATACACACTAATGGTTACAAATTCAATCTTAATATCATTGGTCAAGTCAACAGAAAAGGAAAAAAACAACCACAACACTGCTCAGGGTGATGGCTTCACTTCCTACTGGAGCAGTGCTGGATGCTACAGAAGTTCTGCCTGCAGACCAACAGTCACAGCACCAGCAGCAGTTAGTGCCATTCAGGAGCTCTGGTGTGAATTTGATCATTTCGTAAACAAATAATTTTTATCTCCTGCACACCACAAACACAATATGACAACTGAAAGTCAAGATAAATTCCTTTTGGTCTCAACACTGCCCTGAGAAGAGACTTATATTTGAACTCAGTAGGAAAGCTCTTAAAAGCAAAACTAAAAATCTCCAAGCAGGTTTTGCATCTGAAGTGATACACAACTTGCCAAGTGAGAAAAAAACACCACAATTTCTTCTTGTACTCGAGTACAGAGTTGTGACTCAACGTTCACTGCTGTGAAGAAAGGGTCATTTTCAATGACCAAGCTGTACTTGGAAATGACAGTTTTAGGCTACTGTATTCCTGTATTCCTTCTTGCATGCTTGATGCTTCAGACCGTAGGATGTTACTTGCAAAAAGAAGCTCACTGCTTCAGCACAGCACTGTTCTCAGGATGGTTTGCAAACGGCCACTCTTAGACTGAACATGGAAAATTCTTTGCAGATTGTTCCACCGCTGAAAATACAGTTAAGGTGAAAAAAATATCTTCTATGGCCAAATTAAACAGGAGGGAGAATCTGGATATTGAGATGGAATGCAATTACCCAGGTTGGAACTTGCCCAGGACACTCTTGCTTGGAGTAGCCAGAGCGATCTGGCTATTCAATGCTAAGAAATAGCCAAGAACACATATTACAAGTGACATCCTCTCTCATCCCTAATACTACCCCTCTGTCAATGAAACTGGAATGCAACACAATCCAAGAACTTCATTGCAGCCAGCACCCTCCTGAGACCTTCAATCAGCCAGCACATCACCTCCACCCGCCCTCCTTCAGCTGCAACAATTCGTGCCATCACAGCAGCACGGACACTGACCTAAATATGAGACATTTGTAACAACAGGAAGCTCTGAAGTGCCTAAGTTGCCCTGTTACTGATACACTAATCAGAAGTCACCCAAAACACTTCTTGTTAATGAAAATGTTTAGTGCTTTTAGATCCATGCTTACATTCAACATTCAGAATTAGTCAGCTCTCAGAAAAACCTCCCTTCTCCCTAAACGCAGAGGCAAGGCAGCCTGAGATGAGACTTTTGCCTCTGCTGCTAAGAGCTGTCTGACAATAACCAAAGTACAAACCAATTCTAAATATCTGGGAAATGTACTTGAGATTCCCACCACCCACTTCTGCTCTTTGCCACTAAATAGGATCAGAACAAGAACATAAAAGCTCGAGTCCCATCGCTGTGCCTAAACGAGACGTGCTATTCTCAGACTGCAGGGCAATTTCCAACACAGGAACACAGAGAGGAAAGAAGCCTCAAGCAAGCAGAGGTGACAGGTTTTCAGGAAGATCAGCCCTGGCCACAAGGCGGGGGAGGACAAGTGACTATTCAGCATTATTCCCTTACCAACACTAACAGTGTTATGTGCACCTCCCAGCACTGAAGAGGATTTGGGATTTTAGGGGCCTCTAATCAGCCACAAAGATGTTTCATGACAGCAATAAAAACAATGACAATACGAGGAAAAGAGTGCTGATGCAGTGGAAGGAATTCACTGCGTGTGTCTGAGCTACCAGAACTCAGTTCTTATATCAAGGTGTCCTTAAATTTGCACAGCAGATTCTTCCAACACACAACACGGTAGAAATCAAAACTGGAGGAGTTTTAAGTTCCAAATGACTAAGATCACTGTGAGAATAAAAGGGTACATGGTGATAATGGGGGAGAAAATCCCCCCGAAGAACTTCACTGGAAAGGGTCGATATGCACCATTTCCCCTACGTAAAGCAGCACATAACTGAGCTTTCCAGGGAGTTCTTTCCCCTAAATAGACATGATCCTTAGGCAAATATTTCCCAGCACAAGAATGCTACAAGCATTCAAATACACGCTGATACTGAAGTTGCTTCAGGAGTTCCTACTGCCATTCTTGGAAAACCCACTTTGTCTTTTTCTCTGCTAAAAATCATTCACAGAGCTTTGCTTCAGCATCACCATTTAAATAAAATTCAAAAGCTGTTTAAATCCTACTGCACGCTCCTACTGCACACACACAACCGCATTCCAATGAAGGGACAGGAAGAAAGGTGCACACAAAGGTAGGTTTGTAAATATTTACACATAGCAGCTTTCAGGGCACGTGGGCATCGTCCAGAAATCACTATAAGAAAGCACGGAGTAAAGCAAAGGTATCTTCAATTGCTTGTTTTTGTCCTCTGCCACCCCAGTGCTGAGGGCTGCTCTACCACCCCCAGCAGTGTGACAGTAACACACAGCTAGGTGACACCTGGCCCACTTCCCCCACCTGGCTCAAACCCTTTGATTTGTCACCTACCAGCACGGGGAGGAGGTTAGCATCCTAAATAAGCACCAAATGAACAAAAAAAGCAGTTGTTATCAGGCTCACTAGGGAATTAATATATATTAATAGAAGCATCATATATGTATTAATATATATGAACATGTTCATTAAAAAAAAATCAGGACTCCTACAGTGTTTCTAAACAAAATGCACACTTACAGCTGCGAACTTTTAGAAGCAATGCTGCCTACCTTTCTAAAACTGCCTATACAGCTTGCGTTGTCTTCCATTTGTTGTTTTGTTTCTCCCTAACGTGGGATTTTAATTTTAATTTAAAAGCCCCACCCAAGAAGGTAAACTTCCATCAATTAAACGGGGAGGAAAAAAACTACGAGGGATCTTAAAATGGATGCGGCAGATTCTTTGAAAAAGAGCAACATGTTGCAATCACCTTTCATTTTAGGGGAAGGGAGGGATTCCCTGAAAGGAACAGAGCGGGGAAACGAGGGAGGGGGGGGATGGGGGGAGGCCGGCTGCGATAAAAACGGCTCCGGGGTTTATTTTAGCTAAAAACTTCGCTTTCCCCTCTGCTAATAGAGGGCTGGGGCCGGGGATCGCCGCCCGCCCCCACCGCGGAAGGCTGCACGGCGGCGGCTCGGGGAGGAGGAGAAGGAGAGAAAAGCCACAGAGAGGAGAGGAGAAAAAGAAAATGGCGCAGAGACTAAGTCCCGACCGCCGACACGGCGACTTTCCAGCGTGGAATCGGGGCCTAAAGGGAACCCCGGAGGAGCCGACGGGAGCGGATCGGGGGCCTCCGGTGCCCCCTCTGTGCGAAGAGGCGGTCGGGGGGGCGCGGGGCGGGCGGGAAGGGGGCGCTGGGGGCGGCTCGATGGGAACAATGGGGCCGGTGAGCGCGGAGCCGGGACTTAGTCTCTGGGACGCCATGTCTGCGCGGCGCGGGGCGCGCCGGGCCCACTCACCGTTGGCTCGGAAATCCGCCTCGATCTGCGGGGAGAGGAGACAGGGAGAGGCCGTGAGAAACGCCGAACACGGAGGGGGGGCCGCGTGCGGTCAGCGAGCTATTCGGGGGAAGGGGCGGCGGGCCCGGATCCCCTTCTTTTATCGCTCCTTTTTTTTTTTTTTTTCCCCTCCTCTCTCCCCGGAAAATTAAATACCGAACGAGAAGGCAGCGGCACGATGCGGAACGCGGCCACGGGGGGGGAGGGAAGGGGGGCGCTGAGGCCATCGTACCACCGGGCGGGGGGGCAAAGCAAAACGAACCGGCAACCCCCCCCCCCCCCCCCCNNNCCACCCCACGGGGAACCCCGACCCCATCCGAGCGGCACCGACCGGGGGCAGCGAGTCCCGGCGGCCGTGCCGGGCCGACTGCGATCCCCCGGCCGTGCGGGGCAGCGCCGCGGTCCGTCCCAACCCGGCGGGAGCGAAGCGAAGCGCTTCCTCAGGGCCCACCGCGACGGGAAGGGACGAAGGGCCCCGCGCCGGGCTCCCCCGGGACTCACCTGGGAGTCGTTGTGCAGCTGGTCCCCGCTCATGCCGGAGGGTGCGGGAGAGGCCGAGCGGAGCGGAGCGAAGCGGGAGGAGAGCGGAGCGGAGCGGAGCAGAACTGAGCTGAAGCCGCCGGGGACGCGCGGAGCGGGGACGCGACGCAGAGCGCAGCCCCGGGCTCCTCAGCGGTTGTGTAACAGACACTAAGTCCTGGTTTCGGCGCACTGCGCAGACGCGGCGCCTTTTACCCGCGGGGCGGAGCCAAGGCACTGTTAGGCAGAACGCTGGGACGGGCGACCGGGAAACGGCAGTTGGAGTATTTGCATAGAAGCCCCGCCCCGGCGTCGCGATTCATTTGCATACAGGCCACGCCCCGACCCGTCCACTCCTCCGAACGCTGCCGACTGGCCCGCTCCCACCCGCGCGCTCGTAAAACACACGCGGTCCCGCCTCTTCCTCCTCGTCCTCCAATCGCGCAAAACGACCTTACCCCTCATTTGCATACTTAACACCGCCCCGGCGCTCCCCTCTCCGCCTGGGAAGGAGCCCGGCGCATTGTGTAAGAAGCAGTCCCCCACTGTGCGCGAAGTGCGCATGCGCTCCACCACACCCTGCCGGCGGCCGACTAAATTTGCATGGCGAGCCCCGCCTACCCACCCGCAGGCCACGCCCCCGCCCTGTTAGGGAGCATGGCGGCACCCAGGCGGCGGGGTGTCCCCTCCTCAGAGCCCTTTGTAACTGTGGTCGCAAACACTGCGGGACTTCGCGGGAGCTCCTGCCGTACAGGCAGGCAGCTGGATCTCCTTGTGTGCCGCTGGGGCCTAAGCCCAGAGGGCTAGGGGCCTAGCAGGTCTTTCGCAGCCTGGACAAACATGGTTGAGCTATGGAGCAGGGGCATGCCAGGAGCCGTGCAGGTGCTGGGGGTCAATTCGGCCTCCTCACATCCCCTGCACTGCTGTGGTGTTATGACTGTGCTTCTGCCAGTCTAGTCAGTGCAGCGCAGCCCAGGCTGGGCCATCCCCTTGTTGTTCATCTCCCTTTAGGGCAGGCTGCTGGGCTCTGACCGGCTGCTCCCTTACATGGGCTCTGTGATGGAGGAGCTCTGAGCTGTGCCGAGCCACAATCCTACAAACCCCTCACAAATGCTCTGAGGCGCAGTTTGATTTTCAGTATTTCAGAACGGTGCTGCTGCCCGTTCCCTTTGGCAGGAAATGAGCCATGCTTGCTGCACACATCTGTCCTGCAGGGAGCCCGAGCGTGTGACCGACCTTCCGCTGTTTGTCTGTGTGATTGTGTCAGCCCGGAATGCAGAGGCTGCAGTAGCCCTGCAGAGATTGCATTGTGCGAAGTGCTGTACACATGCCCTGCATCCACATACAGCTGATGCTGAGGGGGATGCAGGTCAGATGGATTTGGGCTGATGTTAAAGTCAAGGACAAGCAATGCTGCACTGCAAATGAGAGCTTTCTGCTTTAAAAAAGGGGATCAGCCATCACGATTCTTCTTCCAGCGTAAGCAGGCCTTTTATTTTTCTCTCACGAGGAAACGAAGAGTAAAAAGGAAACAAAAGCTGGATCTTCTTTCAGCTAACGTGAGGATGAATCATAAACCTTCCTACATGAACAATCCCCTGCCCCAACTTAAATCTGAAGGCATTTGCTTCCGTTCTGCAGCAGCCCTGCTGAACCAAGATCCTTTTCAATGGACTAAATGGCAGGTTTAGTATGCGTGGCTGGTATGTGTCTCACAGGACTGCTTCCAATCTTCTTGCAGCTACCATCCTGTGCTGCAACACAGACTGTACCTTTCCTCAGCTTCTTTACACATCCTGAGCTTTGATTTGACGCTAAAATAATCCAGCACTGCCAGGCTATCAGAAGAGATGCATCAACATGTAAGCAGAGACAGCAGCCACCTATTTGCACTGCATATTTATATCCCGTAAAGGGAAAACTCTGTCACTTTCTTGCAGTCTTCAGAAGAGGATCTGAGGACTTCCTTTTTTACCAAGAGCAGGCAAATATTTCTGAATTTAGATGTGTTTATTATGCAAACTGCTTTAGTCACTGTTAGGTTTTTAAATATAAACGTGATGCAAAGGCTGTTTCTCCTGTTGGAAGAGGTGTTTGTCCTTAGCTCACAGGAATGAGATGACAGTGGGCTTTGCTTTCAGAACAGCCAAAGGTTTGAGCCTGCCCTCGCTGCCGCACAGAGGTGTAGGGGCTGTATTGTATGATGTGACAGCCTGAGAACAGCCTCACTCCTCCTGCTTTGGGCATCAGAAATTCCTAAAAGCCTTAAGAAGCAACAGTTTTGTGTTGGAGCTTAAATATCTTCAGGTTCCCAAGAAACCTTGCTCAGGTGGCCTTGCATGAAAAGGAGTTGCTGCAACACCCACCGTGCTGCAGCAAACTGTGATCAGAGGGAAGGATCACTCCGCCTTGTAGCAGCTGCCACCTTCAGGGGCTTTTTCAGGCACACTTCTGGGTGCAAAAGGGAGCCTCCAAACTGGCACAAGAGGCTCAGCACTGTGCTCTGCAAGACCCTGCTGACAGCCAGCCAGATGAACTCTGAATGCAAAGGGAGCTGCCCAGTCTCTAGCTCGTGTCCCAGTAAAGGCTGTGGTCTCTGCTCTCCTGCAGGGTTGGCTGTAACCTACTCTATGATGTTCCAGGAGTCTTTAGCAGGTATAACCATGAATCCTTGCCAGACTACCTGCACCCCTGGGTGCTGGGAGGCTCTGAATGGAGAAAGGACACGGCCCATATAGCTCATACTGCTGTACCACCAGCCCTTTCAACAGCAGCATCTGGCAGTGACACGGTTAAGTTGTTTGAACCCACTTCCCTGGCAAGGTTGTATGCACCCCATCAAGATAAATAGGGAAAGATCACACTTCTGAGTGCTGTGGTCTTGCTCTGTCTCTCCCAGGGCACCCCAGGGCAGCAGTACATCACTATCAGGTTAACGTAGCCTAGGTGATTGCTTGCAAAACGAAACTGTTGGAAATTATGCGTTTAAATTAAATAATAAATCATACCAGACATAAAACCTGTAGGAAACTCTCCACTTCCTAATTCCAGTGAACTGTGAGCTTGGATTTATTCCGTGCTCTTGGGGCTTCTTGCAGTATTTAGGCTCAGGATTCTCATTTTGGCAGAGGAAGGTGAGCAGCTTTCCTCCTGTGGTTCAATATCAGAATGGGATCCCACAGCTTTCTCCAGTCAGATCTCCTGTGCGAGGATGGGATCTGCAAGTGCAGGAAATCCCCCTGCCAAACCAAGCTTGCAACTACACTGTGGCTTTCAGAGCGGATTCAGCCTCCAGTTCTGTTTTTGCCAAATGTCACCCCAAAGGGTGCACAGTGCTGTGCTTGCAGTAAGGAATGGGGACAGATTCCCATTGGGAATTGCAGCAAGAGCAGGACACCTGCCTTCTCAGGGCTCTGTAGCCAGCATGGGATTGTGATGCACAAGCCAGAACAGGAGGAAGCAAGGGCTGAGCCCTGTTACCTTCCACACTTTCCAGCATCTCATCTGGGAAAACAGGTACCAGGCCTGGGAGCTGCAATGTGTACAGCTGCCACCATTCAGCAGCAATGTGATTCTCCATGTAGGTCACTGGCCACTACAAGAGGGAATGCCTCAGCAGGTCCTAACAGCTCAGGTTGTGGTGTTTCAGACCAAAAAAGGGGAAGTTAAAAATAAATGAGAGCCTATAGGACCCACACAGGACACAAACCCTGTGCATCCAAATCCCTGCCCCCCCGTAGCCCTCTTTCCACACCACTGCCTTGCTTTTGGCATCACGTAAAGCCAACTGCATGGCATTCACTCAGTTATTCTCTTTTCTACTCAGCTTTACTATGCAATGCATTTTAAGTTGTACAATGAAGCAGACTTCATAAGGAAATATGTCTCTAGATTGATGTTTTGCTTACAATAGCTCAGGTCTCTGACCCTCTCACAGGGTTCAGCAGGAGGCACACAACATTGCCGACTCTTCCAATTTTTCCAGCAGATCCAAGATACCAGAGTTTGCTTATTGTGTTTTCTATGATGTTACTTCATAAGAATCTCAGCTTTTGTTAGAGGCAGCAGCAAGTTCCCTAGCACTCATAATTTAGGGACAACGTATTTTAAAAAGGCTTTGGATATTAAACAACTGCACTATTCCAACAAAGAGGTAACAAATGACCATTTACAAAAGAGATTTAAACCCTAAAATCCTATATTTAGAGTCTGTTGTGTTTTTTTTTTGGGGGGGGAGGGGGGCAGGGGGGTGGAAATCTTAGTTCATTTGTATAAAAGCTGTGGTTTGGACACTTGCACTGCTAGCCTACCATTTTTCACAGCCAGAAACCTGTGTGCTGTATTCCAGCTCAGTGTATCCTGTAAGCCTGTTGTCACTAGAGCAAAGTGACACTTGTCTGAAATAGGAACAGTCAGGTATATGGCTCCCTGCTCACTCTTCATTAGAGTAACCTGCTCCAAACATTCATACCTACTCATACTGTTGAATGCTTTGAAACAAAATCATCTTGAAAGCTGTTTTCCACTGTAATAAACCACAGCAGTTATTCACAGTTTAAGATGTAAGATGGGGCCAAACAAAGCAGAACCAGCAGATAATGCTGTAAATAGGAGCTTGCAGTGGTTTCCTTCTCCAGGCCACCTTTGCCTCCCTGCTCCCAGCAAATAAAAGCTATGAGAAACCCATAAGCAGCGCCTTGCTGCAGCCAGTCCTGGTGTAAGTGCCCAAAGCAGTGCCTTGGATATGCAGCTTTCTTCACCACACTTTTCTTGGCAGCTCCAGAGCACACCACAAAAGTCACCAGGGCATAACGTGGTGAGCGTGGGAGGCAATGGGGTGGCTCTTTTTCAGTGCTGTATTGCAAGTGTAACTGAGATAGGGAACCATTTCATATCATCTCTGTCCCTGGAATGAGTTTCTCACGAATTCAGACTAGCCAGTTTCACTTCTTTTTCTCCCTCAGCTATTTTTTGTTGCAGTTTCTCACGTAGTGGCACAATGCTGTGATGCAGATTCCTGACAGTGCAAGGAAAGAGTCCAAACACTTCTATTCATATCACAACTGCTATTAAAACTACTCCCAGCTAAATTTGGTACCCACAGTTAATAAATGGTTCTCCACCACGGTACAGTGAGATAATATTTCCCCTGTCTGTAGTGTTTTCCATCCAAAGGATGGAAGAATCCCCATTTCGGGAAAGAAACTGCTCACTTGGAGTGCTTCCATTTCTGGAGCCACACCACGCGGAGAATGCTGGGCTGAGCTCCAGGAGGTCTGAGCAGCCAAAACCCATCCAAAAAATCAGTGGGAGTGCTGATGCTCATAGCCGTGCCCCAGAGCCCACTCCGCTGCACCAGGAGTGATTTGAAATGTGGCCTTGGAAAGCTTTGCTCCAGCCAGCTTCCAGAGCTGGAAGTTCACAGAGCCTACTGGAAGGATCCCTGCAACAGAGACCGAAGTGGAGATGATCAAAGACTCACCTTCCTCATGCCCAGATGCACTTCTCCAACCTAGGTTTCCTTTCTGCACTCTCCTGCCCTGCATCCGTGATCCTCCTGCTCCAGGATCCTCCTGCCATTGGCAACCCACTGATATGCAATGTGCCTTTTACCCACAGCTTGTGCCAAAGATGGTCTTTGGGACAGCACAAGTCCAGCCACTAGCTTAGCCCAAAGAATTCAAATCCCAAAGGATACCTTTTCTCAGGCAGCCCTGTAGTTGCTTTATTAGCCTCACTACTCACCAAATTGTTGCTTCTCCATGGTGACAGTGGATGGGATGGCAAGACTGCCATAGTCCACCAGTCCTTGAGCATCTCAGCACCCTCTGCTCCCCACGGCAACTCTGAGGGTTTTGCTGTGCCATATCTCAACAGCAAACAGGATGCCTACCCCTTATCCTTAGAGCTGCAATCCCCACTGTGCTTCAACTCCTCACCCCACAACTGCTACTCGCAGACCCTCCCTAACAGCACAGGTGATGGGGTGAGAAATGCAGGTGTGGGACACCAGCTAGAGTGATTTAAAGGAGCCAGGGCGTTTAACATTATTAGCCTGATTAATAGCACCAGTTTGCTGCCCAGCTGTGGATTAGTGATGCAACATTGCAGAGGAACGTGGGGACTACAAGCTGTCACCTGGGGCTGAAAGGAGCTGGGGAAGCCTTGCACTGCCCTGCAGTCAGGCTGAGGCTGCAACTGCTGTGCAATCCAGCGTGCTGCTATTGCAGCTTTTGACTGACTCTAAATCAGAATTTAAGGACCACTGTTGGAGTGATTCTGGCCCAATGCGCACATTTTATCAAAATAGATAGCTCCACGTGTCTACATCACTCTTTCAAAGTTTACTTAACTTGATTTTAGCTGGAAGGCAATCATTTCCTAGAATAGCTTGCATTGCTAACATCATCACACAGCCACCAAACCCCAAAGTGATCAGGAAATCCTCCATGGCCACAAGTGGAAACAACTGCCTCTGAGTGACTGTGCCAGGGAAGAGGTGAAGAAGTTAATTATAAGGAAACAGTAACAAACCTCACATCACCAACAAAAATAATCATGGACTGGTTTTAAAAATAATGAGATTTTTATCAGACTAATATTTGGTGTTGCTTATTTGTATTATTTTTAAAATGAGTTGTCACCTGTGGTAGGTTTTAGATTGATAAACTCCTTAGGCCCTTCTGGAGCAGTAATATGTATTTGCATGTTCTACAAAGGTTTGCATAAGAGAAATGCAAGGTAACTGCTGCTGACACCAAGGGTTTCCCAGCCCCTGTCAGAAATCCACATCCCACGGATAGAGACTGGATTTAAAATAATAAACATAATTTTCTTTTTGAATCCCAATGTCCTGAAGGTGCTCTTTATTATGATTTTTATGATGAGGAGGAATAGAAACACAGAGGCAATCTGCTTGATATAGCTGCTCTGATTTAACACAGTAGCAAATCAGTGTAATTAGATCAGTGATTAGACCTTATGTGAGCACACCTTCATGCCAGGGGAGGCTTAAACCACTGGGAATTACTCTGGTAGGTCAGAAAAAATCAGATGCTGACATCTGGACCCAGAGCACCGCCAGCCAGAGAGCGAGCATCACAGAAGGGCACGGACCAACTCAGCAGTGGGATCATCCATGAGATCTGGCCTTGGATCTGTGTCATCTATGTCCATATGTCCATTTATACAGAAGCACACCACAGACATAAATCATCATGGCTGTAGGGAACTCTGATGCTATGGAGATGGCACAGAACTGCGGGTAAGGAGCTGTCTGAATTGTTTCTTAATTTAATTTAAGCTGACTGATGATGAGGAGGATGCAGAGGGCACTCAGCCCTGGTGTTTTGGGATCATTCCCTTCCTCCCTCCTGCACAACCGCATCCACTGCCCAAAGCCCACCATATCCCCAGGTCCTGCAGCACTTGGGCTCACCCTGCTCTGCTCCAACTGCACCAGCAGCTCTGGAGTTACTTCTCATTTGCACCTCATCTGGCCTCATTTTTGTGCTCCTTTGTACCAAATGGCAGCCACATGCCTGAGATCCAATTATTTTCACTACCATTATAAAAGCTAATAAACTTCAGAATGCCTCCAGCCGCTCTGTTGGTGCCTCTGTGCAGTCACTGGGGCAAGAAGCAGCCGTGCCATCAGCGCATGCAGCTGATACAGGCACCCTGGGGGCAGTCAGGATGTGCTCATATTGTTTAAGACCATGCAGTGCAATTGCTTGGCCAGTAATTTAAATATAATGTGGCTGAATAGCACCAGCCCAAATTGCCACAAGCAGGGGAGCAGAGGGGCAGGTCTGTTTCCAGAGATGTTTTCTGCTTCGGCCAGGGGAGGATATTTGCTGGCTTCTGAATCCATCCAGGTGTTTTTGCCCTTTTTCTTTTAGTATACTCCTATTTTAGGCAGGATTCTCCCTCCAGAATGAATCACATGGCTTCTTGCCCTGTGGGTGTGCTTTCAGAGCCTGGTGTTCTTCCCTGAGCCTGAGCAGTTCCTGTTGAGCTGAGCCCATTTCCAGGCAGTGCAGAGGATGGAGATATTTCTGGATGGCGCTTTGTGCATCATTTCCCTGTGATACAAACTGCACTGGGGCAGAAGGTGGTGGCTCTGGGAGGCTGAAGTGGACCAGGACAATGATGTGGAAGCGATGGGATGGTCCAACCATGCTGTCCTTCATGCTGCAGCCACATCCCATGCTCCACATCTCAAGGCTGCTGCCCCTTCCTTGCGGCTACACTGTGACGGTCACAGTCACCAACAAAAGCTGGAGGTGCCCCAATACAAATGCAGCCGGCTGGAAACCTGCAGCCCTTGTGCCCTGACCTCTGGGGCCCCCAGACTGCCATTAGCATTGGATTTGTGCTGGAAGGGTCCTAAAGCTGCTGCCCGATGGATAGGAGCAGCAAATATCTGGATTGCAACAGTGCCAGATGTGCTCAGGAGCATGGTGTGGAGGGGTAAGCAGCTGTAGCTCAGCTCTAAGCCTTTGGGACCTGAGCTATCAGCAGTCCTCTGTCTGCAGGGACCTCAGCTCACAGCCAGCTCAGCTCTCTCCAAGTTGAGGCTCCAAGTTGAGGAGCGCCAAGTGCCCATCAGTGGCTGCAATGGCTCCTTCTTGCCATGGGTGCAGACAAGGCACCAGGACTCGTGAGAGCCAGGATGTGTGCAGAGCACAGCACTGAGCGTGCAGAGTGCCAGGATCAAGGAGCAGGTGCAGAACAGCACTGCAGGTCCTGTCTGCTCACCAAAGTCCCACAGAGCAGATTTGTGGCATCCCATTGCTGAAATCTCCCTTGCTTGGAGCTGAGAGCACGTTTGGATTTTCTTGCGTTCAGCCCAATCATTTTTAGAATTCAGAACTTGCGACCTTTATTTATTTATTTCTTTTTACATTTCATTCATCTTGGTGGATGAAAATAGCCCACACAGTTTCAATTCTCTTTTTTTTTTTTTTTCTTTTTTTTTTTTTTTTCTGAATCAGTTTCATTCTCAGATGTTTTCTTTGTGCAGAAAATAAATGTGCCTCTAGCTGAAGTGCTCTGCCTTGCTTCAACAGCAGTGGGGGAGCATGGCCCAAAGATGTGTTACACCTCTGTGCCATGACCACAGATCCTGCCTGTGTGCCCCGGCTGTCAAAACATGATAAATGGAATGGGCTAATTCCTGCGAGCACTGAATGTACGAGTAGAGGATTTGTAGTCAGCTGCATGCAGGGAGCTGCCCTGTGCACAGGATGGGGCAGCAACCCCAGCTATGGAGCCCAAATCTCTGCTTCCCACCCCATTCCAAGGGCGCATGCAGAGCTCACAAAGCTTCCAACCAAAATGTAAAGACTGAGTGATATCACCATTTGGTTAAAAATATTTACATACCTTGATGTGCACGTGTGCAAAGACGACAGAACACCTTTCAATGCACGGCTGCATCTCTGTAATCTGTAATGGGAACCAAGCTTTTTACTCCTTGCATTTGAAACGTCACCCAGAGGATGACAGCATTACTGCTATTAATGTAAGTGCACACTGTGATCTTTTCCCACTACCACACGTGTGGGTGCTGGAGCTGATCCCCCCCACCTCTCAGGGACTGCTATCCACATTCCTCTGCCCTGTGGACTCACTGGGGCAATAGGGAGCTGGGCATCCTCCACCTGCACAGATCCGTTTGTCCACTTGGGCTCTAAAATCATCTTTGCAAGTTCCTACTGAGTGCAGTGATTGATTTAGTGATGATGAGGTGTTAAGTAGCTTGGAGAAGTTTCTATTGCAAAATATCCTCGTTCCTACTGAGTTTGGAGTAATGCTGTTCTGGTTCTCTCTTGTTGGGTACTGAACAAACATGGGATGGGACAGCAGCCCTGAAAGCTGAGCTATAGCCTGATTTCCTAGGGGACCTCCCTGCACCCAAAGCACTCGTGGCAGCAACAAGCAGCCACCATGTGAACAACACATGTGGTGTAGGTGCAGTGGTTATTGCACAAGAAGGACCTTCTTGGAATCCAACTCTTGGATTTTTGCCAGGGCAGTGCTCTTCTGTGAGGATAACAAACAGAAGCTCACAGGGGGCTGTGTCAGGTCATGCACCATCTGCTGTCCTGTTCTTGGCTCCAGCAGGACTGAAGGGCTCCTCCTCAGCCCATCAGCTCCTGATGATGGTCAGCACATGGCACTGCCCTCATCTGTCCCAGCGCTGTTTGAGCAGAGCAGAGCTACAAGAGCCAGAGCCCACAGAGCCACAGGGAGATATGGACAATGGATGGTGGCAAATGAAATGCCAGTGTCCTGCATGGAGGCAGGAGGTGACAGCTCCATAGCAGTGCAGCCACACACCCAAACACGCAGCCCCAGAGCTCTTCCTGCCCATAGTGGGGGGATGGGCCGGGCAGGGAGAGGTGGGACACCACAAAAAGGGCTGTCCTGATCTGCACGTAGACCTAACACACCTCCAAAGGCCATGGCTTTCCCATGGAGCCTCTTTCATAGAAACACTGAGGTTGGAAAAGACCTCTAAGATCATCTAATCCAGCAGTTCACTCACCACTAATATCGCCTGCTTCCTGCACACACAGGATCTCTCTGTACCATTCCCCTCACCATAAATCAGCCCCACCATAGTTCCACTCCTGACTTCTCAGCTTCAAACCCTTCTGGGCAAAACTATAACAACCCTCCCCATCACCTCAGGCCCCGGACACCAACATCATTCTCCTTAAGCATGTGTTAAAGATGCTATATAAAAATAAAGGGCATATTTTTTGATGACATAGGCTCCTAGTCTTCAAATGTGATTGATAAAGGAGGCATGAATTGCAAGCATCTAGCATTGCTTTTGCTAACTGATGAGAAAAGTTCTTTGTTCTGCAGTCTCCCCTATGTGTTACTGGTGACAGTTGTTGTTGCTGAGTGCTGCAGGGGTTTCAGTGCTCTCTTACAGACACCACTGGATAAATTTTGCAGCGTTTAGTCATGGTGGATTTCAGTTATAGAATCATTAAGGTTGGGAAAGACCATGAAGATCACCAAGTCCAACCCCAGCCCATCCCACCATGCCCACTGACCACGTCCCTCAGTGCCACATCCCCATGGCAGCCTGTGCCACTGCATCACCACCCTTTCAGAGAAGAAATATCTCCTAATACCCAACCTGAACCTCTTCTGGCACAGCTTGAAGCTATTCCCTCTCATCCTATCCATTTGAGAGGTGCCATTTCTCTGCTCCAGACCCCGTGGATGTTTCATAACAGCCCCAGCAGGAATTCCACCATATCAATGCCACACCAGCAGCAATCCAAGCGTATTCAGCAAGATTATTTTCCCCACACAATTCTTCCAACAAAGAGGGAAGTGTGAGATTCAGCTTTAAAAAGGTTGAATTTTCATCACATATTTGAAACAGATTAGTAAAGTCAGCTCTGCTGCAGTGGTTCCACAAAGGAAATTTCCCTTCAAATCACCATGGACCTCATAGATCCACAGGATCTGGAGACCTTCCAAAACTTCATTGCATCATAGAATCATTTGAGTTGGAAGGCCCCTTAAAGGCCACCTGGTCCAACCCCAATGCAGTGCACAGGGACACCCACAGCTCCATCAATGCTCACAGCCCCGTCCAGCCTGACCTTGGGTACCTGCAGGGATGGGGCACCACCACCTCTTTGGGCAACCTGTGCCAGTGCACCATCCTTATTGTAAAGAACCTTTTTCTTTATATCCAGTCTAAATCTCCTCTCTTGTAGTTTGAAACCTCATCCTGCCGATTGAAGCTGTGACAGAACTGAGGCTGGGAGCGGCACTGGGGGGGACTTCCCTATCGTGACGGAGATTGATCAGCGTACAAACCCGGCTGGAACCGCGGGACGGGGACGGAATGGGAACCGAGTCTTCGGCTCCTACCGAGCGGTGGATGGCAGACATCCCCGAGCGGGAGGAGAAGCGGCTGCAGCGCCGAGCTCCATCTCGCGGTGTGCGCCCAGACTGCGGGCACCGGGCTGTGCTGCTGCGTGCACGGAGCTGGGACCGCTGCACGGAGCGTGCATTGCTGCGCACAGAGAGCACGACCGCACAGAGCACGCACACTCCGTGCACTGCTGCACACGATTTCTGCCGTCCTAAGGTTGCACGAACTACACATCGCCGTGCCTGCTGTAGGTATGGCACGCTGCTGTGCTGACTGCACGCTGCTCTGTGGTCCGGACCTCAGGCTGCAATAGGGGCTGCACTATTTTTTGAGGCCCCATCCATCAACCAGACACATCTCCTTTTTCCAGTCGGGCTCCGGGCACCGGGGAAGCGCCTGCTCTGCCTGTAACTGCAGGAATCATCCTGCAGCATTTGAACAAATCTGCAATGGCAGAAAAGTCCCTCGGGACCACTGTGCAGCACCCAACACCTCCGTGCTGCTGCAGACAGGGCTGGTGCAGGCAGAGCCTCTCCCTTCCCTTTCCATACACATGAGTAATACCGTGGCAAAAACCTGTAACGGGTTGATAAAAAAATAATCCAACACCTCAGCTCAGCTCTGCCAGAGGGGCACAATCTCTCAGTTACACCTCCACCTTCTTTCCCGCAGCGCTTTGACCCCTATCCTTCTCTAGCCTCAGAGCTGCTGCTTGAGATTCCGCATTCCCTTCGTTTTAAACAGATCTCTGATGTCGTCATCCCTCGGGACACAGCGGTGGGAATCCCAAAAGCGAGGCCCGTTGGCGGCGAAGCCCTTTGCTCGGAGCGGCGCTGCGGCCGCCCAGGAGATGGCACTGCGGCTCCGCGCACGGAACGGCCCGCGAGCGGCGGTCCGCAGCCCTGACCTGATCGAGGCGCTGAGAGGCTTCTGAAAATCAACTTCCTTCCCCTTCCCTTTCCCCTTCCCCTTCCCCTTCCCCTTGCCTTCCCCTTCCCCTTCCCCTTCCTTTCCCTTCCCCCTCTCCCCTCCCTGCCCCCGTCCCATCTCCCTCTCCTCTCCTCTCC